ATTTTCGGGCACCCACATGTACCCTGGCCAGCTCCTCTTACGGGTTGTGGCTCAGATGTGCATGCAGTGCCTAAAAGGTTTGCCATCATTGTCCTATATCAGGGGTGGGAAATTGTGGCTGTTTTACAACCTGTGGACTTCAACTCCCAGAATTCCTGAGACAGCCAAGCCGACACAAGTCTCAGGAATTCTGGGAGTTGAAGTCCACAGGTTGTAAAACAGCCACAATTGACCACCCCTGTGGCTGTCCAACCTTTTCTTAAACCTCCAGTATTGGAGCATCCACAACTTCTGGTGGCAAGTTGTTCCACTGATTAATTGTTCTAACTGTCAGAAAATTTCTCCATAGTTCTAGGTTGGTTCCCTCCTTGATTATTTTCCATCTATTGTTTCTTGGCCTGCCTTCAGATGCTTTGGAAAGTAGGTTGAGACAGCACCCCCCCCCTCCTTTCTTTATGTCAGCCCCACAAATATTGGAACATTGCTGTCATTATTTTCTTCTCTCCTTCGCTGTACAATTTAAACAGAAGTGAAAGAATAAGCACTGACAGTCGAGAGCAAATTTATGTGCCCTGTAACTGTAGCTGTTTTGCATATCCAAATAATTCTTCTAATGGACAAATTAGATAAGGCTAGTTGCAAGGAATTAAGTACATGTTTCTCTTTGATCTTCTTTAATTCCTTCCCTCCCCAGCTACTGACTTTTCCCCCCATTCTTTTGATAGCTCTCGATAGCAAGAGCAACATCTTTAACGCTATTATTTCTTGGGGAGTATTTCTGTTGTTTTACAAAAGAGTTATTTAAATGAGGCAGGGAAAAAAGAAAGAAAGAAAGAGAAACGCCCAGCTTACTGGCTTTTTCCTGGACAAGATACCCTTTCTTTATCACTTCATTTTAACTGGGGCATTGCAGACCAGCTGCATTAAGCTTTCTTGGATGAAGGCGGAAGGAGAGATAAAACGAAAGCTTTCATTATGCAGACATGTTTCTGTAAAGTGGTACGAGCTGAGTTTTAAAGCAAGCCAGGCAGATAGATAGATAGATAGATGAGAGAGACAGACAGACAGACAGACAGACAGACAGACAGACAGACAGACAGACGTGAATGGATTGTCCAGACAAAGATGGAAAGATAGGAGGAAGGAGAAGATCCTGCTTGGTTGGGGAGATGAATAGATGGGCAAGAGAGGGATTGGGAGGGAAAAAGAATGGCATATAGGATTCCTTTTTTAAATTTCTAAGTAATTTGATTTCTAAGTAATTGGAAATAAATAATTTTATGCGATTGATGGAAGAGGAGACCAGTGGATTGAGTATGGAAGCATTAGACATGATGGACAAAGAGAAGAAGTCTATTTTCTGAGCAGCTTCAGAGGAATGATCTCTAACTCAATGAGCTATTGGCTTTTTGGAAAGCCAAATCTAACTCAAGTTAATCCAAATCTGAGCCCCTTCCAGAATAGCCTACTAGGTAGGCTGAAGATACTGGAAGTTGAAGACACAGGGAAAGCGTGGGGTGGAAAGCCTGATTGAGTGAATTAAAATTGATTTTTAATCAAAGTACTAATCTTAAACATCTTATCACCGCCTTCCATTTTATACTTGGACTCTACAAGGGAATCTTTCAGCTGTGTTGGCCTACAGTTCCTACTAAACTCTGCCAATATGACCGCCAGAAAAGTACCACGTTGGCAAAAGCAGCTGGCTGCAGTTCAGGCAAAGACCTCTATGCTATCCACCATCTGTAATACCTTAGTTTCTGGTAATTCAGATAGGTATAAGACAACATGGGCGATGCAGTGGCTCAGCTCTTAAGATGCTGGGCTTGTTGTCTGGAAAGCCGTCAGTCCAGGTTCGAGACCCGAGCACCACATGATGGGGTTGAGCTCTCGTCCTCACCTCAGCTCCTGACAAACTAGCTGTTCAAAAGCATGCAAATTAATGGGTACCACTTCAGTGGGAAGGTAACACGGCTCCGTGATGTCATGCTGGCCACAGGAACCGTGGAACTGTCTTCAGACAGCGCTAGTGCGGTGATGAAATCCAAATTGTTTTTAACTCCCGGTTCTGTGGGCGTGGCTTGGTGGGCGTGGTGTGGCTTGGTGGGCGTGGCAGGAGAAGGATACTGCAAAATCCCCATTCCCACCCCACTCTGGGGCCTGCCAAAGGTGGCATTTGCCAGTTCTCCGAACTACTCAACATTCAACAGCCTTAAAATGTGCACTGCCCCATATAGCACCGACTTAGCAAAGTAAAATCCATAGGGATTCCTTTACTTTTTTTCTTTTATAAGGCAATATATAGTGGAAATCTCTAACACCACTCTTTGATGTGTACTGAAAAGGCAAAGTATTATAAATGTTTAATTTCTTTAAAAAAATTACTTTACTACTTTACACATTTGGTTGCTGACCAAGGAGTTACCGGATTTATTCCATAGGAAGGTTTCCTCACTCCCCCGGCCTCTTATCACCTATGCATTGAGGAAATGTTACGTTTACTGATAATAGAAGCTTCTAAGAAGTTAAAATAGCTGCCATAATCATTATTTAAAAGCATGGATACCTTTGAAATGTAGCTTGTATGAGCTGTTATTCAGAAGGGACTGTAGGCTTGACGATTTTAATCCCTTTTTTGTAATACCTAAATGACTGCTCTCTTTTCTTCCTTCTTCATGCCTGTCTTCTCACACTTTGTATGTCCACTGCCTCTTCTCTTCCCAACATAGCCATTTTGTTCCCTTAAACCATTCTGTTCTTTTTTTCCCCTTTTTCCTTTTAATGTTTCTGCTGGAAAGAGGGCATGTGTGTTTGCATAGTATGTGACAGTGCTCTGTGCATAAAAGTGAACAGTTGGTAATGCATAGAGAGGATTAATTAATCCTATAAATTAGGCATCTTATTTTACAAACAATTAATTTTATTGTGTGAGTTTGTGTGTATGTGTATAAATTGTCTGCTGCTCGTATTTCTATTCATATTCATATATCTCCCCTCTCTTTCCCCTGAAGCTTCCAAGATGGCCTTAGCCAGGTTCACTTCAGGGTTGACAATCTCTCTCTCTCTCTCTCTCTCACACACACACACACATACACATAGATGGAATGTAGTCTGGATTCCAGGAAGGAGGGAATTCATTCCAGAGGAGCAAGAGACAATTCAGATAGCTTGTGTGACAGAAAGAGGGTGAAGATGGATCCTCCCTAACAGTTACCTCAGCATATACCTTACGGTTAACATTATTTATTTTAACATACGGGGACGCGCTGGCTCAGTGGCTATGACGCTGAGCTTGTCAATTGAAAGGTCGGCAGTTCAGCAGTTCGAATCCCTAGTGCCGCGAATGGGGTGAGCTCCCGTTCCTTGTCCCAGCTTCTGCCAACCTAGCAGTTCGAAAGCATGTAAAAAATGCAAGTAGAAAAATAGGGACCCCCTTTGGTGGGAAGGTTAACAGCGTTTTGTGTGCCTTTGGCGTTTAGTCATGCCGGCCATATGACCACAGAGACATCTTCGGACAGTGCTGGCTCTTCGGCTTTGAAACGGAGATGAGCACCGCCCCCTAGAGTCGGGAATGACTAGCACATATGTGCGAGGGGAAACTTTACCTTTATCTAACGTACTTTAATCTGGCAAGATTCAGCCTATAGGTCTGTGGCACCTCAGCTTGGAGGAATCACAATCTATTTCTTTGTTTTTGGACACAAAGACACGTTCACACACACACACACACACACACAAATGAGAATTTTCCAGAATTTAGTTTCAGCCAAAGTAGACAAGAAGGGAAAGATTGGAGACTGTACAAGATTGTTCCCTGTTTGTGTGTGTTATGTTCTTTTTAGTGCATAGGATGATCACCATATAATCTTAGTTCATTTAAATTTGGAAGGGCACAGATCCTAAGAAGGGCCCTAGGGTATTTTATGGGAGGCCACAGGTGAAAAACATGTAATGAGGTCATGGCATGTGCCAAAGAGGTGGGGGGCACAGGAAAACAGCAAATCCTATCTTGTTGGTGGTATTGAGACTTGGAAAGGGAAGGCACCACAGAAAAACCACAGAGCCTTGGTAGTACAGTGGTCTAAAGCACCCTGTTATTAAGACCAGCTGCCTGCAATTACTGCAGGTTCGAATCTCACCAGGCTCAAGGTTGACTCAGCCTTCCATCCTTTCAAAGGTAGGTGAAATGAGGACCCAGTTTGTGGGGGCAATAAACTGACTTTGTATAAATATACAAAAAGTATGAAGGCTATTGCTTAGCGCATTGTAAGCCGCCCTGAGTCTCCGGAGAACGGCGGCATATAAATCAAATTAAAAAAAAACAAAAACAAGGAAGGAAGGGACCATGGACATGCATAAATAAAATAATTAAAAAATAATATAATGAAAAATGAAATGAAATGAAATGAAAATAATAAAATAAAATGAAATGAAATAATGAAATGAAATGATAATAAAATAAAATAATAAATAAAATAATAAAATAAGGAGCCTTGGTGGCGCAGCGGACTAAACTGCTGTTAAAGTAGCACTTAGCTGCCAGCTGCCTGCAATTACTGCAAATTCAAATCTCACCAGGCTCAAGGTTGACTCAGCCTTCCATCCTTCCGAGGTAGGTAAAATGAGGACCTGGTTTGTGGGGGCAATAAGCTGACTTTGTATAAAAAAAGAACACCGCTTAGGGGCCTCCGAAAGCCCTACTAAGCAGGTATATACAAAAGTATGAAGGCTATTGCTTAACGCATTGTAAGCCGCCCTGAGTCTCCGGAGAAGGGCGGCATATAAATCGAACCAATAAATAAATAAATAAAATAAAATAAAATTAATAATAAAATAAAATAATAAAATAAAATAATAAAATAAAATAATAATATAAAATAAAGTAAAGTAAAGTAAAATAAAATAATAAAATAAAATAAAAAATAAAGTTGAAAAGCACGTCTCTAGGACATACATTTAGGGAATAAAACCAAATCTCAGATAAAATTTTCCCCAAAAGGTACAAATTTCTCCAAACTTTATTGATACACTGCACAATCACAACCATCTCTTATTCTTTCTGAATTAGAAAAGGTTACAACTACAATGTAACATGCACAAAATTTCAGGTAGTATATTCACCTTTTTTGTTTTTTTTTATTTTTAATACGATTATTGACAGGAAAAAAAAAGAGACTTGACTTCATTTGCTTTAAGAAATTAAAAATAAACTTTAAAAAAGTATTTCTAGAAGGCTGACAGAATAAAAGAAAAAAATAATGCTTTAAAAACTTCCATTGGATTATACTTTTTTTCCCCCCTCATTAAAGCATTTGAACACTGAAAATTTATTTACTATTGTTTGTTTCTTTTTTCTTTTTATAGGATAAAACGGTGTGAAAACAATATGCACAGCCCATAGCTTTGATACAGCTAGAAGAATTGCACCATTGATAAGTCACAGAACCTGTATAAGGTCTAGCAAAGATAAGGACTCTGAAATGGACAGGTAACGTTTTCATACAAGCAACAAGATTCCTCACAATTGCACTTATACATTGCACAATAATTGGATTTTGTTTGAAAGGAAAAAAAAATGCTTTCTGGTACGTGTCAATAACAGAAATTATTTTTCCCCTATTCTGGGATTACTTTTTTTTTTTTTGTCAGTTTGTTTGCTTAATTCAAACAGTGAGTTGTTCATTTCAGTCCGGTAAAAGGAGAATTTTCATTCATGACGTCCATTTTCAGTAATTCAGAATCATGAGTATAAACAGGACAGAAGAATTTTGAGAGAGATCGGATGAATTCTCCCTCATGTTGGTTTGGCCTTCAATTTAATCTATTGGCTATTTTTTTTTACGAAGTATCAAACTAAACCAGGTGTTTTATTGTTTAGCATCCTTGGCGCGATGAGCTTTTAATGCATCCGTAGGGATCCTGTGTTTTATTTCAATAGAGAACGGACATCCGCGAGAATATTGAAATTCACAAAATGAGCCCTTAGACTGTGAGCAAGGAAAATTTTACACCCCTAGGAACAAGCAGGGAATCTCTGAATTCTTGTGGATATTTATTTATTAAATAATATAAGCAACCTCGAAAGATTGAAGGTTCCTAATATATATTTTTTTATTAAGGTCGTGTGGAATGGCTCTTAGCTCTTCAAAGGGCTTGTACAGTGTCCCAGAAAAACCTAAATGAAGTTTTGGATTGCTATATGAACAGCAATCACATTTTTTTAAAAAAATAAAAAATAAAACTAGAGATAGTCCTTGATGCAGCTGTCTTCTAGTGGGTAGATCTGTTTTGATTAGGCTGGTGGCCCAGATACATGTTTGATATTAATCATTTCATTTTCTGAAGGAGGAGAGGTCACGTCCAAGAATGCTTTAAGTGTCTTAAATTCAGCTGATAGCATAACTAGGTCGAAATGTGTCTTGACTTGCAATCTGCATTTTAATTCGCTTTTTGAAGAGCAGATTTTCCGAGAGAAGTAAAGGCTCACAGCAGGGTTAAGCAGCAAGCCTACCAAGGAGCCAATGGCTTCCTTGTTTAAAGACAAGCGATTGATGCAACTGAAGGTACAATCACAATTGGTTGAAACAGATAACATGGAGCTTACGGGAATAGCTTTTGATTAGCAGTGTGGGTCACTAGAATGCAAGCGCAAAATGCTTGCTATTTTGTTTACATGATGACTGAATGAGCACCTTATGCCAAGCATAATGACGCCATCAAACAGAAAGGACTACATGCCAGTTCTCCCAGCCAATGGAGGAATCAGCCATGATGGTTTCCCTTTCAGTTAACTGACTTACACTGCAAACAACAAACCAAGTTTGAAATAAGTTCTAATTTTTCCCCCCCAAAAAATGTTGGAAATGTTTTGAAGTTGTCTTGTTGGACAATGTATTCAAGTTTACTGGAAACGGGAAACTTGGAATGACCGATGAGAGAAGAACTAGCTAACTTAAATCTTGGCTTACTCTTCTTCGGAGCTAGATGGTTAAGGAGAAAGAGAAAAGGGAGCCTGTAAGGCCAGTCCTATATTTCATGTATTTTTCATTATTTGCAGTTACTCAACCGCAAAAAGTAGAAAGAAATATTTCCTGTTTTATTGTGCTAAGAGTCTGAGTTTTTAAATTAATGGCCTATCCTTACAGTTCTGTTTGGATAGATAACATTGCCATGGTTTCCCCTCTCTTCATCAAACTATATCAGTCTACATTAAGATGAAAAGCTTGTCTAACTCATTATGGCTGTGTTGACATGTCTTAAAAAAGAAGTTACTTTACAGAGTTCTCTCTTTAATCAAACCGATTTGATTCCTTCTATTGGGGGAACCATCTAAAACTACATAATAGGAAAGTGCTTAATTCATACATGTGGACCATCATTCCTGGTTTGTCTCCCCCCCCCCACAAACCAGGGATAATTAAAGAAGTAGATGTGACTTCCCTTTAGTGGTGCAGTGGCCTAGAGGTGGAGTCTCACCTCACAATCAGGAGGCTGTGAGTTCGATCCTAAGTAGAGGCAGATATTTCTCTCTCTGGGAGAGAGAATGTATTCGCTGAACAAAACTCTGCATTGGTGACAGGAAGGGCATCCGGTCAGTAAAACACTCTGCTAGCTCCATTCAGTTGCCCAGACTCCACCCTGCAAGGAATTATGGGGTCGTTAAATGAAGATGATGTGACTTCCCTTTCAGCCTCCTTAGGAAAGAAACAAACCACAGTTCCAGAAATGCTCGATTATATTGAACAAGCCAAAATAAGAACTTTTGTGCTTGATAGAAAGAGGCAAGCAGGAGCTAGCTACAAAAGAGTTTCATTTTTTTTGTGAATGCAACTTGTGTGTCCTTACATTCTTGGAAGATAAGGGTTTTTTTTTGTTGTTGTTGTTTTGGCAAGGTGCAAAACATCCCCGTTAGAAGAGTTTTGGATTGACTTCATGGATTTAATAATCCAATGGAATGTGTATGTTGTACTAGCACAAGTAGTAATAGTGTATGAAAAAACAACATTTCACCTTACTCCAGGCCGTGCAAGCAGTCCTCGGCTTACAACCAGAATCTCTATTCCTAAACAAGGCGACTGTTGCAATTTTGATCCTGTGGCTGATGCTTCGACAGCCATACATCCGAGGACCGCTCATTGTAACTTCAAAGGGTCATTAAATGAGCAGTTGTTAAGTCAAGGACTACTTGTACTAATGACTGTGATCAGCACTGGTAAGAGCGGAGGGGAGGTGATTTGTGATAAAAGTAGATAATTCTGACAAAATTCATCATATATATCCAAGTCAAAGCAAGTGAGAAAGAACTTCAGGGGTGGGACATCCATTTTGCACGAAGGAGGTCTACAAATGGTTACGAAAAAGGTCTGAGGAGCATCCCTCAAACGGTGAGAGCACCTTTCTATATTCTCTGCAAGAAAGCATCCAATATTTCATGGGAAAAGACCCTGGGTAAACCATATATGAAATCTGCTTGAAAGTGCTTAGACTGACAACAGCAATCTAAAGTGTCAAAACTTTTGTTAGTCTCCCCTTACGTATCTTCAATTTCAATGAAGTGGGGAGGGTTTTTTGTGCCATATTTTCTTTTTTGAAAGATTCATCTCAATGTCTGCAACCTTGTGTCTATTTACTCGTATGCGGGCTTATTGACGCAAATGAACTTTAGCACATAGAACGATGGCTGACTTGAAAATCAAAGGGTGTGTATATATGTGTGTGTGTGTGTGTGTGTGTGTGTGTGTGTGTGTGTGTGTGTGTGTGTGTATGGAAGCTTCCTACAAGTCCTCGTGGAAACTGATTGAGGGCCACCTTGGCCTTGACTCTCTCGTGGTTGGTGGAGGAGATGCTTGAAGTGGTTTCACCTTCAAAACGTGAGGCATTTCTCATCAACCCAAACGCATTCTCCCAGAGGCATGTGAAAAATATCTGAACACATCAGGCACTTAACTTTAATCATTCTTCAGCAAACTTAGCATATGCTGTGTCACCAGAATGTCAGTGCACTTAATTCAGGAAGAGTAGCTCGTTTCCCCCGATGCAGAAAATCTCCAAGAGAATTACTTACAGCTAGAGTGTCTTCACTTTCCTTCCACTCAGTTTAGTTCTAATCCCAAGGGGTTGGTTTGATCTATATATTAAGTGTTTTTCTATTGAGACACCTGGTCTACCCCAACATGTGGGAGGGGGCATTCTGATGAAGGGAGGAGAACTTGTGGCTCAGAAGGTTAATTCAACTGCCTAACATGCAGGAAGCCCAAGTTCGAATCCGAGTAAGGGTACGGCTAGCTGATAAAAGCTAAAAAGCTTGAAATAGAGCTATACTAGTCTCCCTTTATTTCTTTATCAGCAAAATATAAATTATATATATATATATATAATTATATATATATATGGCATGATTTTAAACCTCTTAAATCCCGTCGCTCTGCCGATCTTACCAGTTTCTGCATAGCCCCCTTTGAAGACCCATAGATACTTCGAGTGGATAAGGGCATGATGCATTGGTGGGATTCAAATAATTTAACGATTTCTTCCAACAACCAGTTCACCAAACTGCTCAGAAAGTTAACAACCGGTTCTCCCGAAGTGGTGCGAATTGGCTGAATTCCACCACTGGCATGATGACTGTTCTATGAATAATAGGCCCATTGTTTTGATCCGGGGGCACCACTGCAGTCCTACGAGTTTGTGGTTTAAGTCAAACCAAGAGTTGATTTCACTTGACTACGAGTTAGCGTGAGCGCAGTGGCTCACGTGTTAGGACACTGGGTGGACGATCAGCAAGCCCGTGTTTGAGACCCATGTGCTGTTGCGTGGCAGGGTGAGCTCCCGTCATTCACTCCAGCTCCTGCCAGCCTAGCAGTTTGAAAGTGTATAATCGCAAGTAGATAGATAGGTACTATCTATCCAATTGGGCATCTCCGTCCAATTGGAGCTAATCGTCAGCTAATCCTTTCAATCCAGAAGTATTTTAGGTACTTCCGACATGCATGTGAGCAAGTTAATGTTTGTCTCTCTGTGTATATGCATGGAGACAGTATTTCTCTAAAGCTCTTTCTAAATCAGCCAAAAATCCGCCGCTGGAGTCAGGATCAACTAAAGTCCAAATGCATCTTTTTTTTTTCTCTCCAAAATTCTCTAAGGCTGAGGGAAAAGCTATCAACTTTCTGAGCATTTATAGGTATCTAGCTGCCTATTTTTAACTCTGGGGCGAAGAAGCGAGTCTTTGGCCAAATATAGCTCACCAGTTTCTGCAGGGACAGAAATCTCTTTTGCATTTAACAGACTTTCGGGTAGAGATTAAATCAGACTTCAAAAAGCTTTACGGCACTGAGGCCCTGCGTGACAACATGATCACATGAAAACAACACAGCATCTTATGACACTTTAAGGAGAAATTGTGGCATAAGCTCTCAAAGGCTATTTCAGTATACGAACAGCTTCCGAGTTGAATAGGGAAAGTTGTGCTATATCGCTGGCATCATCTATGGGAAAGAAAGCATTGAGTGACATGGACAAGAGAATGACATCATTGCGAAAGCCATGTCCTCCAGCTTTTTATATTTCCCTCTCTGTCCCCACCTCAAAAAATCAACCACCAATTCCAGGTCTGATGACTTCTTTTCTTGACATCCGAAGAAACGTGTCACTATGGACAGTAAAATAAGTTATGGGATGAAAACGTCTGTACATTCAATAATAATAATGCAGCTGGGGGTGTCTCTGTTTTCATCCCTCATCTAAAAACCAGGCCCTGACCCTTCCCGTGTTTTAAATATGAATATACCACCCAAATATTTTAGTCTTGTATAAGAAAACGTCAGGATCTTCGAACTGTTGTTGTACATGGAGCGATAAGCTAAACACTTTGAACAGGACATCTCTTTACTCATCCAGGTAGACCCACTGAGAATCTGAACCAGTCACTCACAAGGTCCATTGGTGTTGGCTAGACACAACTGAGAGCAGCTCAGTACGGTGGCTGCCATACGTCCTTACTGCTTTTCAGGGTTGTGGCTGAAGAAGACAGTCTTGGAACCATCCACCTACCGAGAACGTTCCCCAAGAGAGAAAAAAAAAAAACGTAACATCAGGAACAATGAATTATTTCCCCATCTTGGTTCTCCAGCTAAGAAATAACCTTTACCTACCACCAAAAGAAAATGCACAAACTAGACATTTGGGAACTTGGCTCCTCTCCAGGGGTCATCTTTGTGTTAGATGACATCACTCATCCCAGCTGTCCAACCTTGTTCAGGGTCTTGATTTGAAATGAGTCGTGTCCGCGTTCTTCTTAGCACTCTATAGATTAGAACTACCTATTGGTTGATATTTCTTTCTAACAGTGGTCTGTAATGTTAGTAGGTTTTTTTTTTTAATTCTTGTTTATTCCAGACATCCACAAATATCCCATCACCAATACAAACAAAAACAGCATTTCTTTTTTTTTTTTCCTTTCCTTGTAGGAAGCAAAATCCTTTCCTACAACATTTAGGATATTTTTTTTTGTGCAGATAGAAGCAATTCGAACCTTGGATCATCCAGAAAGAGGAGCCAGGGGAGAAATTTTCAGGAACCATCAGTGGTGCTTTTACAAAACCATGACCTGAAACAATTCCTTAGCTGCTCTGCAGGGCTAGTGAAGAAACCGAAGAGGCACACACAAAATCGCATGGATCTCCTCCTCCGTTGCTTCGTCCCATCTCTTGATTTGTTGCTTCTCCGGTGTTTCTCCGGTGTTAATTAAACGCTTAGAACTTAAGTTGCTGTGCAAAAACCCTTCTGTTCCAGAGAGGTTTCTGAAGAAATGTACAACTAATGTCGGAAGAAACTAGCAAAGTAATTGGCCTCCAACAGCTTCCGTTCTGAGGATGGATGTGTAAGATAACAAACACAAAAGTTGTTCTGGGGAGGCTTGGCCTGGGTTGAGGGGGGCGGAAGGGCGATCCCATTGCTGTTTCTGGATAATGAAAAACAATGAGTCTCTTTGAATGTCTGTGTGCAGTAGAAAATTGGGGGCATTGGAAAGGATGGCAAATATTTCCCCACTAAATTCAGCACTTTTAAGTTGAATTATTTTAAGGCAATGCTTGACAATGGAAATGTTTCGCTCGGATGATAATGGAGAAGAATGCAAAAGGCTTAGAATCCATGGAGTGACACAATTGCTGATGCCCATGCGCTCCGAAATATTATTCCATTGTCTTTGCCCGTTCTTTGATTTTTATTATTATTATTATTATTATTTTACTGTGCCTTTTCTTCATCTATATTATTCATTTTGATCCTTTGCGAACCATCTCTGTGCCTTCCCTCTGCGGCGAAGAAGGGCCAAAAGACTGCAGCGGAACATTTAAAACTAATAATGGGTTGAATAATGAGGAATTAAAAAAAAATGTCTAGCGAACGGCAGGACTCGATGGAGGTGATCAGGCTGATAGATGTTGGAAGAATGGATGGGGAATTGAAGAGGAACAATTTGGATTTTAAAAAAAAAAGCTCATCAGATAATTACATTGATTAATTGATTAATATGGCAAATAAATGACTGGGAAGGCAGATGGATGGATAATTGGATGGATGAATGGATGAATGGGCAGAACGATGGCCTGATGAGGCTGATAAATGGGATGTGCTTGACTTTCCATTCCATCACTCCAGGTTTTTCTTTAATAGCGAAGAGGAGAGCTTCCAACACGCCCATCCGTTGACTAACTCATAGTCTGCTTCTTAAAGTGCAACATGGTTCCCCCATCATCACTTCCATCCTTCATGTGAACCCACATCCTGGGGGGGAGTGGGGGCTTGCAAAGACGGCCTTCACAGAACGGTAGCGAAGGCCTTCGAAGAACCAACCAAAGGGGAGGCAAGAATCCAGAAAATGAGTAGACGCTTTGAAGCATGAACAGATATGTACAGCGTTATCTTTTTTTTTTTAAAAAAAAAGGGGGGGGCAGTTCCGTTGGTCAAGGAGACACCGAAGGAAGAGGATGCTTTGTTGACTTGCTTGATGGACAGTTGTCTCTTGGACGAAAGCATCTCTTCTTCCAGGGGCAGGCAGAAGCATTCGGTCATAGAAAGGAGAAAGTCGAGAAGTTTTCCACAGGGCATTTGAGGAGGATGGAATGGTCCAGGAAGGATGTTGAAAACTGATTCAGCTTTGGGAAATATTTGTGATGGTGGTTGGCTTGGTATCAGAATGCCCCTCCCTCCCCTTGTCCTCCCAGCAATAGAATCAAGCTGTAGACTGGTTTCCTTTTTTTTTCAGGTTCCCCCCAGCGGCGTGGATGGTTAAAAGTCTGTGGTGTGGGAGAAACCAGGCAGCATTTTGCAAGGATCCTCGCTCTTCTTATCAAAACTTGAGCAGGAAATAAGCAAAGAGAGTGCCCGATAGCCAGATGCAGGCCATTGCTCTGGAAGCTGCATTGTTGCCATCGTGTACTGCTCCTGGGCCTGGATTGGATGACAGACACAACAAAAAAGAAAGGAAAGAAAGACAATGCTCATTAGCAAAGTGAGATTTTTCCCCCTCCCACTACAAATAATAATAATAAAAAAAATTGTCAAAAAAGCCAACACAGTTCTGGGCTGCATAAACAGAGGGATAGAATCAAGATCACGTGAAGTGTTAATACCATTTTATAAGGCCTTGGTAAGGCCACACTTGGAATACGGCATTCAGTTTTGGTCACCACGATGTAAAAAAGATGTTGAGACTCTAGGAAGAGTGCAGAGAAGAGCAACAAAGATGATTAGGGGACTGGAGGTTAAAACATATGAAGAACAGTTGCAGGAACTGGGTATGTCTAGTTTAATGAAAAGAAGGACCAGGGGAGATATGATAGCAGTGTTCCAATATTTGAGGGGCTGCCACAAAGAAGAGGGAGTCAAGCTATTCTCCAAAGCGTCTGAAGGTAGAACAAGAAGCAATAGGTGGAAACTAATCAAGGAGAGAAGCAATTTAGAACTAAGGAGAAATTTCCTGACAGTCAGAACAATTAATAAGTTCTATTATTAATTGTTCTAACTCATTATTATTAATAAGTTCTATTGCCTGCGGAAGTTGTGAATGCTCCAACACTGGAAGTTTTTAAGAAGATGTTGGATAACCATTTGTCTGAAGTGGTGTAGGGTTTCCTGCCTGGGCAGGGGGTTGGATTAGAAGACCTCCGAGGTCCCTTCCATCTCTGTTATTCTATTTATAATTCTAAATATCAAGGAGTATTTATGGAATGTCTTACAGGTTGAAAAAGCACCGTGTCATTTGAGCAGAAACTGGTCATATTTTCCTTGGGGAGGCTCTCAGATTTAGTACCAGTCATTTCCAGCCAAGCAGATAGAAGAAACTGTTGGGGTTGTGGAAGGTAAAAGGATGAGACATGGGAGAGATAGATTAATAATCCCATTTATTAATCAAATCAAAATTCTTGGCCACTCTCAAGTGTCTCGGCCAAGCTTTCATTTATTAACTTCTTTTCTTGGGTCAAACTTGGTCATCTTCCTAAGAGGTAGCGCAGACATATCTTGCCTTAAAGATTTCTCTAGCTTTATTTCCTTTGTGAAATATTATATTGCTTTGATAGAAATATCTCAATTCATAGCAAATTAATAGAGACTCAACGGTACTTTATTTTTTCATGAAGGCAAGATTTCATCTGTTGTTTGAGACTATTGTTCCACCTTCTTCCCCAACTTGGATGCCTTCCAGATGTATGGACCATCTCCCCCCCCAATTCTCAGCAACCAATCTCCTGGCTAGAATCCCTAGGAGATGTATACCCAAACCTGGAGTACATTCACATTAGGCAGGTGGCACAATTCATAATGTTATGTAAATGAGCCACAGGCTGTAAGATTTTCCTTTTCCCTGGACTTATTTGTTTTTTTTCTTTGAAGACATTTTGCTTCTCATCCAAGAAGCTTCTTCAGCTCTGACAGGATAGTGGGGAACAGAAGGATTTATACTCCTTGCAGACAGCTGGTCATTTGCATCCTTTTAAAGGGTCGTTGAAGCACTTGGAGGCCCTCTAAAAGGATGCAAATGACCAGCCGATCTGGCAGCAGATTTGGACAGTAAGGAGGTTGGGGAGGAACATGGGCCAGTCCTGGAGTTTGGGGAAGGCTCTGATGAGGGCTCTGCATCGGAGGCAGAGAGGGGGCCAGGACCGTCTGACAGTTATCAGCTGCCTTTGGAGTCGGACATCAGTGGGGCAGAAGAACATCTGGAGCCTGTTCCCAGTGTGCGCATGCGCAGAGCTGCCAGGAGAAAGGAACAGCTAAGGAACAAGGGTCAACTCAGAAATAAAGCCACAGGTGGACAGTGAATGTCCCCTCCCATAGGGAATAAAGAGGAGCGAAAGGAGGGGAGTTTGCAGGAGACAATTCATTTGGGTGAAGATCTGTGCCTGCATTCTCGCCAAGTATTGTCTGTTACAATGTGGAGTCTGAAAGACATCGGCCTGGCCACTCTCCAAGCTTGATCAAGGTTGCTAACTGTGAACTATCTCGAAAGACTGTGGGAGAGGAAAGACTTTGCTGGAGAGGAATTCACTGTTAATTAAATAAATGGGGGTTTATCGGGACGAGGACTCGGCTTCGTGTTGCTAGGGAAGCCTAGGTGAGAACAGTCTGTAGGAGTATAAATCCTTCCATTTCCCACTATCCTATCGGAGCCGAAGAAGCTTCTTGGATGAGAAGCGAAATGTCTTCAAAGAAAAAACCAGAAAGTCCAGTTGCCTCCTGAAAAAGCACCTTTGGGACAACCATGACCTGGATGACGGAGAATCTCTACAGACATTCTCCTTTTCCCTTTTTTCCTCCACTCTGCTGAAAAGGAGGTTAAGGAACATTCTGAGTTACAACCCCCAAAGATCCAGTTCTGTAGTTTCCGTCTCTCTCACACACACACACAAAAGGTGCACAACCAATTTGGTCACTGAGCGCTATGCCAGAATTTGAATCCCCCAAAGTGGCTGGGCCGAAGGAAAAATAGCCGTGCCAGTCACAACATCAGCTAATTTGATTAAATTTTAAGTTAGATTTAATTAGACGCTTAAAATGATCATTGATGGTATTCACAAGAACGCACCGGTGAGCAAACTACGGGCAGCCACCACAAGGTTGCGCATCTCTTAGTTTAACTCAAACAATGCAGACAGGGGTCACGCCGGCTCAAAATCCAGCTGTGTTTTCACAAACCATATTTTAAATTAATTTGAATGCTCCGTTCTCGTGTCACATGGAACTCTGATGTGTTCCTTCTTTATGCCTGTTAGCTGTTGGGAGAGGACCCGCGAACGGGAGTCTCATTGCTATGCATAGACGCAATGCTAAATCCTACGAGCAAAAGTGCAGGACGTTGATTTAATTAAAAATGTTAACATGTTTATTAATATCCTGGTCCTCTCCCTCGAGCATCCAATGTAAACCAGAGGGTGAAACTAACCGCCTGCATCGGAAAACGACCATCCCAATTGTGACAGCTGCAGCAACAAAAGCCATAACAATCATAGTAAACGATATATCAGCGGCAACGCATTAAAGCATCAAAAACCCATGCAAAAACAACAACAACAACAAGAACAACAACAACAACAAAGAGTGGAGACAAAGAGTGATGGATCTCCACAAAGATCCACAAAGAAGATGTGGTTTCCACCACTGGAAATACCCCGTGCTCATCTAATTTAAAATGATGGTTAAAAAGAATCCCTGAAACTCTGCAGCTGCTCTTAAGGTTGTAAGTAGTCTGTACGGGGAAAGATATTTCCTTGGTTTTATGGTTGTTGGTTGTTTTTTTTTAATGTTTATGGATGTGGTGGCTCAGTGGCTAAGACGCTGAGCTTGTCGATCGAAAGGTCGGCAGTTCAGCGGTTCGAATCCCTAGTGCCGCGTAACGGGGTGAGCTCCCGTTACTTGTCCCAGCTTCTGCCAACCTAGCAGTTCGAAAGCAGGTAAAAAATGCAAGTAGAGAAATAGGGACCACCTTTGGTGGGAAGTTAACAGCGTTCCGTGTGTCTTTGGCGTTGAGTCATGCCGGCCACATGACCACGGAGACGTCTTCGGATAGAGCTGGCTCTTCGGCTTTGAAACAGAGATGAGCACCGCCCCCTAGAGTTGGGAATGACTAGCACATATGTGCGACGGGAACCTTTACTTTTATGTTTTTTCAACCCCACCACCCCCAAAGTCCATCACACGGAGGAAGAACGCAGAGAAGAAAATAAGACCGAAAGCACATTTTTTTCCCCCTATCTCTTTAAGGATGCTTTTAAAAGTTTGAGCCGAGAACTGAAACATTTCCGTGCAGGTTCTCAGCCGAATTCAGCAGCAAAGCCCCAAGGCTATTTTCCCCTTCTCCCCAAATCCCACTGCAACTGTTAGCAACCAAAGAGGCTGTTTGATTCATTAATCAACAATTTTATAGCAACGCTGATTGACTGGAATCCTAGAATAGAACACATCTGTGCCGCCGCCTCCCATCTGGAAACCTTTATGCACTAACTGCTCTTAAATGTTTTATACTCTTGTCGTTTTTTGCTCCATGGTGAGGGCAACAGCTTTTTTTTCCTTCTCATTCCGATATGTGAAAAAGGCTGCTTTCAGTTGTGGCCTAACAAGCTGAGTGGCACTAGCCTAGTGAAAAATTAATAAGGACCACTGCACAGGGGCAGAAGAAAGAAGGAAGGAAGGAAGGAAGGAAGGGAGGGAGGGAGGGAGGGAGGGAGGGAGAGAGAGAAAGAAAGACGGAAAGACAGAAAGGAATTTAAAAACCTAAAACTGCATTTGTCTTTTTTTTTAATTGTCTCGTATCAAACCGCCAGCTCAAAATCGGTATTCAATCACCTGAGGAGTGAAATGCTCCTAGTTCAGACCGGATCGCTCGATCCGGTAGCGATGGTGGCGGGTGTTTCGGAGAACTGATAGCAAAAATCCCTGCGCCCCCCCGCCCCCATGCCCAACTGAGCTGCTCTATCATCAGAGGCTTTCTTTTTTACTTTTAAAAGCATTTTTTTTCTACAACTTCTTCGGTGGAAAAAATGTTTTTAAAAGTTAAAAAAAAAAAGCCTCTGATGATCGCGGGGCTCAGCTGGGATCGTCAGAGGCTTTTAAAAGGTTTTTTTTTTCTTGCAACCTCTTGGGCTAAAGAGGTTGTAGAAAAAAATGCTTTGAAAAGTTTTTTTTTAAAAAAAGTTGGCCACGCCCACCCAGTCACATTACCCCCACCACCAAGCCACGCCCACAGAACTGGTAGTAACAAATTTTACATTTCACCACTGGTTCAAACAACCAGCTAAGCCATAAACAAGGTTTTACCAGCCACAATGCTTCAGTTCTGACAACTCACGGTTGATTTTTTTGTTTTTAATTTGATTTATATACCACCCTACTCCCGAAGGACTCAGGGCGGTGGACAGCCAAAACAGTAAAAATATATAAATATAAAATTTAAA